AGCTGCTTATAATATTTTATCATCCTCCCTCTTAGTACATGTTCATGTCTCTACTACATGTAATACTATCTTAGGCCTCATAACAAGGGCACATGCAACAAGTTAAATGAGAATCAATGTAAAGAAAATTTCATTGCTTAACTCTACAAAGCAGTTTGGTGGCTAGGAGAGTAGCTAAAATTGCTCTCCATGAAGGGAGTGTACAATTTGGCATCATTGAAATATGGGCATTGAAAATGTGAACAAAATCCAGTAGGATAACATGCTATGTTGGTTTAAAAAATTACATTGTAATGCTGTGTTTATTGTTAAAGAGTGGTCATTTGGTGTGTGGGGGGGGGGGGGGGGGGGTGCAGTTTATGTAGGTAACTTAACCTTCAGGAAAACAGTATGTGATGATGATATCTCAGATTTGCTTTGTGTAAGATAAATAATGAATCTTTGGCTTCGAAAATATCAGTAAGTTGTTTGTTTCCCATAATTTAATTTTGGTCCATTCTATATGTTCTGTTAACATGTTCTGGTTCTCAAATGCAGGTGAATTATGGTGGTGTAGCAACGCACAACAGCCCACATCGAGTCTTTGTGTCAGAACCAGCTAATGCTGCGCAGGTACACATCTTTGGTCCAGGAGTGGAGAAAGGTGTGAAGTGCAATACAGAAACACACTTCAACATTGACTGCAGAGATGCAGGACAAGGTATATTATATTATGTGTGTGTGAGACCTCATTCTACCCTCCTTTGTCTTATACTGTGTATTTGATCACTTTCTTGCTCCAATCTCTCATTCCTTCTTCTCTTGCAACAACTAATGTATTATTATACTACACAAAGCATTTTTATATCTTCTTGAATAATTTTGTTAATAAGGTGACATCCAGATAGCACTGACTAATGAAAAGGGAACAGATGTTCCTCTTGCTGTCACTGACAATGAGGATGGAACGTTCACAGTTGACTACTGTGCACCAGCGCCTGGAAACTATACGCTGAATGTTTTGTATGGGGGAGTCACTGTACCTCGTTGTCCACTCAGAGTGTCTGTTCAGCCTCACGTTGATGTTTCTAAGATAAAGGTGGATGGCTTGGAACCAAGTAAGTTTCTTATAAATTATAATAATAATAATTGGATGGTTTGGCCTCTAGTCCTTGCAGTGATGCAGTTAGTACAGAACATTTAAAATATTCAATTAAAAGATTATCATTAAATTGTAAAAATATAATTTATGTAATATTACAATTGTACTTCATGTTGTGCTGAAAAGCTGCTGGAGACGGATTTCAGAAATTGTGTCTTAGATATCGGCCTGATGCTCGTTGTGTAGTTTAACAACAGGTTGTAAGCACTGATGTCTGTTACTTTTCTTGCAGTTTCTGTTTCTGAATTTTTTGAATTGTAGTTTATTTAATCTTTAGTCTCCTGTGGACTGTTACTTTGTAATTACAGTGTTGTCAAATAGAATATGCAAGGCACATTTAGTAAATTTATATATAATGATGCTACTTAGTAATGTGCTGTCATGTTGAAAAATAGTAATGTTTTGTACAGGGTTCAAAGTAATAATGTGGCTCAGTATAGTAGGTCTGGTTATACCTTGAAATTCTCACTTTTTATTGATGTGGGCTGGAGGAAATATTTAGCCAGCTAAGACAGCAGTGGTTTGTGAGCAAGGTTTTACTGAGTTTGATACCCAGAACAACAGAATGCTAGCTGTGGGATTGAGAATCTCTTCCTTTGTTCCTCATTAGTGTTCTAAGGGTGAAGTTTGAATGTGTTTGTAACAACTCATAAATTACTAAATTATGCATTTATAAATGTAAGTTGTGTTGCGTGATTTATGATTTGCCCAGTGATACATGGGACATAATATTTGTACTAGTATAATTATATGTCATAATTTTAGCTGGATTTTGGTGTTCTGTCCATTGGCACTGATGGAAATCTTGTTTGTAACTTATTCTTAAACAATATTATCTTCCTGTACATATAGTAGAATATCTATAGGATGAATCTTAGATATAATAATTTTTTTATATCAGATTTTATTTTGATCCCTTTTCAGTCACAGGCTTATTAAATACCAGATTTACAACTTCATAGTGTGTGTGTGTGTGTGTGTATACACACACACACACACACACACACACACACACACACACATATTTGATTCCCTGTGCTTTTACAATTTACCACACCATTTTCATGGGTACTGTAATAAATTATTAAGATATTTGAACATATTTCAAGTTGGAGAAAAGTTATTTGTGTAAGGTCTTTAAATGAAGAGTCTAATAGAAATGTTTGGTGATTGGCTGAGAAATTGTAAATTGCAGCTTTTAAATCTCTCCTGACATTTGGTGGTGAGAGTGTCATAAGTAGTACAGAGCAGGGTGAAAGATAGTTTGTTAATGAAGTTGTAATTTCATAGCTTGTGCAACTGCTAGTGCCTTAAATCTAAAATACTGAATATTCAGAAGACACATTAGTGGTTCAACTGATGACTAATGCAGACAGGTTACACTAGAGAAAACTCTTCAATTTATACAACTTTTTAATTTTTTTGAGAAATAATTTTTCAGTGTAGGTAACCCAGAGTAGTGCATGAAACTCTCCTAGTCAGTGATAGTATGTGGATGTGATTCCTAATTGTCACAGCCACATTAGTAAAGTGGCTTGTTTTGCATAGCGGCCCCCGTCAACAGTTTGCAGCAATTCCGAGTGATCACACAAGGTGCTGGTAAGGCAGATTTTGCTGTTGCAATAACTAGTCCTTCAGGAAGTCAAGTAAAGGCACATGTGATTCCAACACATGAAGGATTTCTGGTGAACTTTACACCCACGGAACTTGGTGAATACCTTCTCAGTATATCATTTGGTGGAGAGCCAGTGTCTCCAACGCCTTATCGTCTTGCGTGTACAACTGGCAGTGAACCTGGCAAAGTACATGCTTCAGGACCAGGATTAGCCCATGGCATTGTGGGTAAACCTGCAGAATTCCGCATTGACACAAGAGGTGCAGGACAAGGTGGTCTTGGTGTTACGGTGGAAGGACCGTGTGAAGCTGCCATAAACTGCAGAGACAATGGGGATGGGACATGTTCTGTTGCTTACCTGCCCACCGAGCCCGGAGACTATGGTATCAACATTACCTTCAATGAATGTCATATTCCGGGCTCACCGTTCCAGGCATTGGTGGTGCCAGACACAGATTTGAAGCGCATCAAAGTGTCTGGCAATGGCATTCAACCCCATGGTAATGATCACTGTGTGGCATGAAGAGTTTTTTTATTAACTGCCCACTGCTTGATCTGAATGCTAACAATGCTTCCATCTGCAGTGGTATTTGTGTTGTTTCATTTGTACACTCGTGAATTGTCTAAATTCTGACACATTGCACTCCATCCTAACAGCAGTCATAGCCAACGCCTAGCCTTCTCCCAATATACTTCATTTGTAGTATTGTTGGTGTCTGTACCTTTCCAAAATGAAAACATAAATCATTGAAACTGGCATTACAGTTTTTTTACATTTACACTTACTTTGTATTAATAAGTGTGTTTAGTGTATAGTTTGCCACTATCCAACATTTTTGGGGTGAGTGGCAAGTCACCCTTATGCATTTTGAATTAGGCATGTGTGTGAAATGAACTGATGGCTGATCACAGCATTGTGAAGTGTTTATAAGTTATCCAGAACCTCTAATGTAAGTTTTCTTTTACCCAAACTGTAGACATCTTGTACCCTATAGACTTATAATTTAGTTTCTGAGGTGACTAGACAAAATAATATTTTGGAACAGTTTTAGTTCTAGCATGAGAATAAATTTTTGCATTTTGGCATATGACTAATGAAATAACCACTTATTTATGACTTTGAAACCATTCACATGACTACAAGGAAGCAGATGTTGAATGAAGTATAGGCCTATCATTTTGTGTTCACTTGTGAACTTTAGCAGTAGCTACAGTATTATTATTATTATTATTATTATTATAAGTGCATATTTTAATCTAGTATTTCAGGCTGAAGTTGTGATTTTGAGAAGTAGCTACAGAATTTTTCCCTTTAATTTACACCTTTGCCCTAGTTTTGTAATATCTCGACTGAAAGTTGAAGTTAATTATCTTTAGTAATATTTGCAGGATTATTCAGTGTATTCCATTCTTGAATTTCTTGTAAGGTAGCCTTTGGCAGGTATTGTAAAATCTTGACTGAATGCTGAGACTATGTTACCTTTCAGCATAAAATACAGGGGTCACATAATTGGTCTTACAGCTGAAGCATAATCATCTTGTTCTGTGAATCAAGGACATTGCACTGTTGGTATAGTGTTTTCTGAAGCACTGGTGGTGAATCTAGGTTCAATACTTGAAGAATATTTGGCAGGTAGTACATGTTTGGAGCAGGGCTTTAATTCCATAGTCATTAATTTTGTCATTCAGTTTATTATTGTCCCAAATTGATTTGAAACAAAACCCTTGAATGATTCTTAGTGCTATTTGTTATGTGTTTTTGACTAGCATGGAAAAAGTTACATAACATTCCTCAATTCATTTTTATGTGTGTTTGCATCTTTGCATAGCATCTATTAAAATTGCTACAACCATTCATCCAACCATTCAGTCTTCACACTTTACTGAAACGAGTTGAGAATATCTGAATGAATTTTTATGAAATTTGATATTGGGGAATTTTAGTAAAATTTGCTTACACATTAGAATTTTGGCTAAAATCAGAATGCAATAATAGGCATTTGAAGACTGCATGAATTTCTTCATGCCAAAGTGACTGGGTAGGGAATCTTCAGGTTGAATGAAATGTATTGAATGACTGCTTTCTATCCATTTAAAAACTTAATTTGTGGGTGGATGATGAAATGGCTATTATGCTGTTTGAGAAATCGGGTGTTGTATTTATTATGTGATCTCAACTCTTATGACATTTGTTTTCATAAAACAGGGATGGCTATCTTCTTTGTATGTTAGGGATAATTTATCTGAACTGCAGTCAGAGGTCTGGGACTGAGTGAAGTAGTAGAATAAGGATACTGGCTCTTAGGTTTAGAGGTTTGTGCCCTCTTTCCTGCAAGGAAGAGGACGTTTGACATATGCAGCACCTAAGTGAAGAAGAAGCTGAAGGGAAAAATGTTAATTAGAGATAGTATTAGAAGAAAGTAAAAATAAATAGCAACCAGAACAGGTGAACTTACTTCAGAATTGTTTCAATATTTATCTAGTAAATTAAAATAGTGGCTAGTGGACAATTTTAATCAGTGTTCAGCCACAAGAATGGCGAACAGTATAATATTATCAATACTGAAAAAAGGAGATATAAATAAATGTGAGAATTATAGAGGCATCTGTCTTCTCAATATTACTTGTCACAAAATGCTAAAGTCATTATTACAAGTCTCTGAAGTATTGCAGAACACATCCTTGTGGATGAACAGATGGGCTTTAGGAAAGACAGATTGTGCAGTGACAATGTTTTTATACTAAAATTATTGAAAACCACTAAGACTCCCAAAAGGAAACGCATTCTATATGTAGAATATCTGAAAGCTTTTGATAAGGTTTGGAGAGAAAAATTGGTCGAAGTGTTTGAGGTCAGAGTACTTCACTACATTTAATTAGCCATAATGAATATGTACAAAGATTAAAACATACAAATCAAGAATAATCCATAATAAGATATATTAATTCAAGATTAATACAAGAGTGCAGTTTGTCATTTTTACTGTTTGACTTGTTTATTGATAATGTTAGACGATAAAAATGGGTTTTGAGTATTACAGGGACATTATGGCAGGGAGAGGTGATTGGTTGTAGTAAGTGGCATTTGAATTCTGCCCTCCTTTTCTATACCAATTGGCTCAATGTGAATAAGCTTTCCATGTTTATTGTTACCTGAAGCCTTGTTCAGGTTTTTATCTACTTCATAAATATATGTAATATATTGGAGAAAGTAAATTCACACATATAAGATTTATATTTTGTTCTATGCCATGTATCTGTTTTTATCTCGAAGTTATTCTCCTTTGTCTTGTTTTATGCCCGTTTTTACCTTTCAGACTTGTGGTTTTCATTCACATTTGACAAACAATCAGTAGCCCTCGAAAGCTGTAAGAGTTGGCTATCCTAGGATTAGTATATTACCATGCTTTGGCATGTGTTGACAGTGGTTTGTTTACTTAGGGTTAGAAATTACATTTTTGTCATGGCAAATTTCAGTTTTACTTTTGCATTAAATGAATGGCATGGAGTTGGAGTGTTGCTGATAGTAACAACTTTGCTGTGTGTTTGTGTATATTTCCACAAAACAAATGTCATTTATTTGTGTGTTGTTAATGCAAAGCAACTATTTCAAATTATATTTATGGACATTGTAACACTTCTTATGCATGCAGAGAATTATGATGTAGGGTTACATGACTGTTTATTTTGGCTCATATCAGGTTATCTTGTAACTATATTTTCATTTAGCTGTGAGTATTATAAATTTTAGGTTTTCTGTATAAAAGCTGAACAGATTTAATTGTGAAAACAAACTGCACTTCTAGTATTGAATACTGAATCCGGAATGTAGGTTTATTTGTTTTTTATTTATGTATTGATGCTGTCAGTAGGTCAGAGTATATACTTTAAAATTTTATAATTAGCGAATAATTGATCGGAAAGTTGTGGAAGTGATCATGGCCAAATGTAACATACTTTCTTGGCATCTGTTTGGAGGGTCTGACCTCCCAAATATGAAACTGGAGTGCTAACCAGATAAGCCTGGTGTGTAATAATATGACAATATTAGAAACTTTTGTGTTGTCATTATCATTAAATAATGAATACTCAGTTTGTTATGTATCCAAATTTGCTCTTCAGGCTACTGCGTCTCTAAATCTGTAACTCCTATGTATGTACATGAATGTGTATAGCGGCTGGGAAAATGAACATATTAGCAGATGCTTTCCCACAACTTGAACCGTGAGGAACAGGGTTTAGGACTATGATCAAGGTTTTGCTAAAACGAAAGTGGAAATAGATGTTAAAATGTTGAGTGTGCCTGGAAGTAAATTATTTGTATAGATATTTTATTAGTCTGTGTGATTTATTGTCTTTCTATATATATTTCATTATATTTGCAAAAATTGGCTTCTGCCATGTTCAGTGCATATGAAAGCTCAATGTTAAGAGTGCAGTTTACATGGTGACCTTTCAGTTCTGTTGGGTCGTGTGTGAATATGAAGAACACTTGAGAATACTTCTCACCTGCACTGATGTAATGCAATGATATTGTTTATAGTGTATTTATATTTTGTGATTTAGTGCAATTTTTTGAGACCTGATTAGACCTTTCAGTTTCTGTGGTGCATGTTCTTATGTTTCTGTTATTAAGAATACTTTTGAAACGTTCATGTATAAGACAAGTGCATTTATTCTCTTTTCTCTGCTATATGCCTTCCCAGATCTGACATATTTTGAGGTCTCATATTCAGTTTGAAAATACCATATCAGCATTTTTGCATATTATGTAATGACAAATGAAACTTTACTGCCTGTCATTTTTTTATTATTGTTAATATGTACTATTAATACTACATTCACTAGGATTGTAATTAATTATGTAATGGTTACAGGTGTGTATGTTGATTCCCCCACGGACTTCGTTGTTGATTCACGTGCCATTGCCAAACGTGATGATGGAAAAGTTACATGTACCATTACTAATCCATCTGGAACCAAGACTGAAAATCTCATTACACCATTAGCAGATGGCACATACCGAATAAGTTACACTCCATTTGAAGAAGGTACGCATGCTTTTTTATTCAGGGAGATCTCTCATGGTGCAGGGATTGCATTTCTGGAAAACAGTATATGTTATGCAGTGTATTTATTCTGGGTTAAATACTATGTAGTATCTGAACACATGACCATATTATTTTGGAAACTTTTGAGAAACAATCCTGCTTCTACACCGAGAACACAAAACACAGCTCCTTATTTAGTTGGTCATGAAAGCCTATTATACATATATTGAAGGAATGGAATGGAATATTATTTTACCAAAAAATGTAACTTCCTCTGTTTATGAATTCATTTTGTTTAGTTATTTTCATGTTACTTGGATGAATGGAATAATTGTTTTGTCTTTCATTGTCTTAATTTCACGCTCTTAATATTATCTGTATAAATTAATTTGTGGTTAGGACGGCACACAATTGACATCTTGTATGATGGACTTCCAATTCCTGGCTCACCATTTGTGGTAAATGTGCGCAGAGGTTGTGATCCTAGCAAATGCAGGGCATTTGGTCCTGGTTTGGAGCATGGTTTGGTGGATCAAGCAAATGTGTTCACTGTTGAAACAAAAGGTGAGAATCAACAAAGGAATTTTATTGTCTTGAACTTTTTAATATCTGAATTAAGTTAAAGAATTGCATTAAAGATAAAGTATTCTTGACATGGACTATTAAATGGCACATTTATTTTCATGATGCCAGTAATACATCCTTAGATCATAATTTTTATTAGAAACACCATTAAACAGACTAGTAATATGAACTGGATGCCTACAGTGACACAAGGTTAATTAAAACACTACAGTGTAAAGAGATAATTAAGTGGAGAAAAAAAAAACAAAAAAACAAAAACAAACAGGCTCTGGCTGTTAGAACCTGAAATGTCTGTTAATTCCCCACATCCATAAAAAATTCGGATATACCAGATGGTGTCCGTTAAGTCCGAAATCCTTGAATTGAGGTCCATTAAATTGAGGGTTTACTGTATAAGTAAATTACTAGATGGATGGTTATGAATTGTGCTTTTATATTTACATTAGAGAACTTAGATTTGGATGTTTCTTTTATATTCTGGAATTTGCCTGGAGGGACAGAGAAAACAAGTACCTTGGTCAAGATAGTTAGGCTGTTGTCAAGATTTGAACAAGAGAAATCCAGATGTAAAATAGGAATACAACTCACTATACAGTGGCTTTTGAAGGTACAATTGATAAAATGTTTAAAATAGGTGCTGGCACTGGAGGTTTGGGTTTAGCTATTGAGGGTCCATCTGAGGCAAAAATGACATGCAAAGACAACCGTGATGGATCCTGCTCAGTGGAATATATTCCCACAGAACCAGGAGATTATGATGTCAGCATAAAGTTTGCTGATCAGCACATCCCCGGCTCTCCATTTAAGGTAAGGTATATCTATTAGGGATGTTGACCTCAACAACTTAGGCATGAATTTAACTTAATTTTAGTAAAATATGATATGCTATCTTTTCCGTTGTGTGTTTGGGATCAATCTTCTTATGGGTTGTAATGCCATGTAGTCTGTTAGATGTTTACTGTTTCAGAGGTCCTTGCTGTCTTATCATTATTGCACTGATGATGGAGGCAGTGAGGACCTCTAAAATGTTGGTAAACTTCTACCAAACTACATAGCACTACAACCCAGAAGACATCTTTAAGGATACAATATTATGGACATGTTGTGCATGGACAACAGTAAGATTTTTTTGAGTACATTAGTGGTGAAGGTAGCAAGTAAAGGCTGTCAGATCAAGAACTATGTGGATAGTCCAAATGAAGGTCTACAAAGTAGGTTGTTCATTAAGATTTATGAAAGAATATTTTGTTGGAATTTGTATGTAACATGATAGTATGCATTAACATTATGATTGGTGATATTATTTCAGGTTCCTGTGGATAAAACAGTGGATGCTTCTTCAGTCAAAGCATATGGACCTGGTTTGGATCCCAAGAAGTGTCGTGCAGGTACACCTGTAGCATTCAAAGTTGATGCAACTAAGTCTGGGAAGGCTGCATTGGGTGTTAATATTCAAACAGACAGAGGTATGTGAACACAGCTAGAAACTTTTTTTATATATTTCTTGTTTTGTGGTTGGAAGTTTGAACTGATATAATGTACATTGCACCTTCTCATGTAAAACATTTTACAACCACCACAATTATGCATAATCTAAATTAGCATTCAGTTATCAAATATGCAGTGATTGCTACATTTCAAATGCCATGTTTGTTTCCAGTATTCTGCTTGTCAAAGTTTTGACTTGTCTCTTACCCACACAGTTTCATAGGAAACATTGAAAGCAAAGTACACCATTTGAATCATAATGGGAAGACGCATATGTCATGAAAAGCTCTGTATGTCCATGTCAGGACAATGAGAAAGTTCACAGAATGGATGATTATCTAATATCTTCTGTCCCACTCTAAGCAGCTGACTGACTAGGTGGCATAGGGAACCCGAAGGTTCATAACCAGATTAACCAAAGCCCTCCACCGGTCCTTGTTCTGGTCCAGCAAAACCCATTTGCCTTCAACTCCTGTCTCCCATAGATCCTGTTTGATATACTCCCATCTTTGTCTAAGCAACTCTTTTCTCAATAATCTAGTTAAATTAACCAAGTTTAATTTGAAAACTACAAAAATACCAGTAGGCAGAATATGTGAATAGAAAGAATTTTTTAAATATTTTATATTTTCAGAATTTATGCATTTCTCTCTCACAGTACTCTTGTAACTCTCTGCTGGTACCAAAGTCTACCGTTGAAATCCAAGTCAGATCCATCCACTTCCCAGCCTCACAATGTGTTTCCCAAAAGGTAATCTTAATATTGTCCTTCCATCTCTGCCTCAGTCTCCCAAGTGGATGCGTTCAGTAGACTTCATCACCAGTATTCTACATACTTCTCTTGCCTCCCCTGTCCAAGGTACACATCCAGCCTATTTTGACTACTTTTACTTTATCACTTAAAGGTACCATATATGTATGTCCTGGAGATTTTCATTCTGTAATATTCTAAATTGTTCATTTCATTGCTCTCAGATCCATGTATTTTCCTGAGAGTTTTGTTTTACTTTCCTTTATGTATCAGTGTAACAACACTAATAACTGAGATTTTTCCAGTTATCTGTCATTTCTTTACATTGCGCAGACTTACCATTTAAGTTTAATGGTTTAGTTTTCTCAGTTCATGTGAGTTTATGTTGTGAACATTTGAAAACAAGGTGTGATATATTTTGCTTATCAGGGACTTTGGCACCAGAGGTCCGTGATAATGGTGATGGAACTTACGATGTCACCTATGTGCCACCTTCAGAGGGCAGCAGTGTCAAAGCAAAAATAACGTGGGATGGGAAGGATATCCCAAACAGGTATGTACTTAAGTTTCTTATCGCAGGATGCCCAGAATCTTGACACCTTTGCAATTTAATGTTATAAAAATAAAGTAATAGTGGGGTTTAATAAAACAATTTTGAAATGATATATGCATGTATCATTTGTAGATAGGTATTAAAGAAACATGGCTTTGAGGTGACCATAAGTCATCAGCTTGGTGAGAATTCTGCTGGTTGTACATTATGTAGACATTTTTTATGTTAGCATCATACCTTAAATCTGTTCTTAATACTTGTGTCCACAAACAGCATCTGGTATTATTCTGGGTACACAAATTTTGATATGTGATACATTGCCAGTTGTCTGTTTTTCCAAAAATTACTGAACCACACATTCTTACACCTTTTTTGTTTATATGAAAATATGAGCTGATTATTTTTGAATGAAAATAAGAGTAAATCAACTCTGTCTTATTGTTGGTAAAAACCATAAAAGAATATTATTATTTCACTTATGTGAATTGGATTTTTGATGTAAACATTGTCAAGATTTGTTAGGTAAATGAAACTAAACTTATTAATCAAGAAGATTAATGATCCTGACAACCAATTTTGAAACTTTGTTTACCTCAGGCTTTCATATTGTTAGAAAGGTTACAGTAGAGGTTTTAAGAAGTATGGCAATTTTCATTTGACAGCGTATATGCAGTTAAATTATTTTTTGTAAGAATTTGTCCCCCTTCTGTTCCAGCCCTTACCAACTGAAAGTCCGTCCAAGGGTGGAACCAGATCAGGTTAAAGTTGAGGGACCTGGTGTGTCAGGCAAGGGTGTTCCTGCATCCCTGCCTGCAGAATTCACCATTGACACAAGTCAGGCAGGCTATGGTGACCTTGAGGTTCAGGTGAAGGTGAGTAAATGGATTAAAATGTAGGTTTTGATATTTTCACAGCAATGAATAAGTGCACAAAAATATAATTTGTAGTGAAAAAGGTAATACAGTGAAACCTCGATGCATCGTTTTCGGCGGGGGTGGGAAATAAAAACGATGAATGCGGGAAAACGATAGATGCGGGAAAGCATTAAAAATTTAAAAAAAACAATGTTTCTCTTTCAAAGTTACTTCTTTTTACCAAAAAAGTCTTTA